GGCTTTAGGGTTTTAGGGTTTCTGGGATTTAGGGTTTTAGGGTTTAGGGTTTAGGGTTGAGGGTGTCTCGCAAGTTTTGAGTTGAAAGACAAGTGCCCTCGAAGCCAGCAGCCCGACCCCCGAGCCCAAACCCCTAAACCCTAAACCCTAAACCCCAAACCCTAAACCCTAAGCCCTAAACCCCAACCCCTAAACCCTAAAGCCTAAACCCTTAGCCCTGGCCAGGTTCCGACATTGGTGACTCGGCTGTCGACGCAGGACCCGACAGAGGGTAGCAGCGCGGCAGCTAGTGAAGCACCCCGGCCTGGGGCTTAAAGCCCTCAAGTTCTCCACCGGACTTACGGGTGACCCTAATCCCCAAAGCCCTAAAGCCCTAAAGCCCAACAGCCCTAAAGCCCCAAAGCCCAAAAGCCCTAAGCCCGAAGCCGAAAGCCCAAAGAAGCCCAGCCACCTGGGAGGAGGCGTTGGAGGAAGTCTTCGAAATGCAATCCGAGCGGCCTGCACGGTTAAATTGGGTGTATCGAGTTCGCGGAGGGCAAACCGATCGCGGGCCCCAGAGAAAGCCCCCTAAACCCTAAACCCTAAACCCGGACAAGAGTGGTGTAGGATCAAGGATCCCTCTAGGCCCGAAAGGCCTCGTATTTGGGGATTACCCGCACCAGCCTGGAGGTTGGGGTTCGGATTTCGAGGTTCGGATTTCGGTTTCGTTTCGTTTTGGAGCCCTCGTAACTCTGGGGAGACGTGCAGTCCTCTACGGTTTAGGGTCTAGGGTTTAGGGTTTAGGGTCTGGACCCTGAACTCTTTTCCTCTCAAACCCACCAAGTTATGGCCTTTTACCTAAACCCCTAATGTCCTAAACCCATAAACCCCTAAACACCCCTTAACCCTTAACCCCTAAACCCTCAACCCAAAAAAACCCTCAATCCCAAAACCCGAAACCCTACTTTCCTAAACCCCTAAACCCTACCTAAACCCCTAAACCCTAAACCCTGTAAAAAAAAATCCTAAGCCCTAAACCCTGATGTCCTGGACTGCCCAGGACCGAGATGAACAGCCACGGACTCCTGGAGAAGATCCGCAAAAACCGTCGGACATCCATTAAGCCGCTGCCACCCATGCGTGAGGCAGGTTTTTAGGGTTTTTTAGGGTTTTTAGGGTTTTCAAGGTTTTTAAGGGTTTTGATGGGTTTTTGTAGGTTTTTAAGACTTTTAGGGTTTTGGGTTTAGCTTTTAGGTTTTGGTTGCTTGCTGGGTTCAGGCTTCCTGAACTGGTTCCTTGTGGGATTAAGGGTCTGGGGGATTAGAGGCTTAGAAATTGGAGTGTGGAATATTTAGGGCTGGGGGGAGTAGTTTCTTGTTCGAGTTCAGATGGTAGTTCGTTGTGGGTCGAAGTAGCAGCAACTAGCCTGACAGGTGCACCGAATGGGGATTGTAGTGCTTCGCGCGGTTAGGAGCTCGGGCCAAAATTGCTGCGTTTGCAGATTTTCAGAGCCCGAGCCCTGTGTGACAGGACATTATGATGTTTATTCATCTGGCCTGCAAGAAGCTTATCAACACCTACTTCTTCGAATGTGCCATTTCCATTGTGATTGTGGCCAATTCTGCATTGCGGCCTGGCACAATTTCGCGGTGCTCTCACCTGGATGAAGATCACATGTTTAGTTGTTTGGTAAGCCTTGCGCTGTAGCATGCTGTCGGAGGCATGTCACAGACCAACCGAAATTTCTCCAGAGTTCAAGCAGAGTCTTCTGCCTTGGTCGAAGGAGTTAGAGAGTCAGAGCCTCCATCAAAGCTCAAGTGGAGGTTTCGCATTTAGGGGGTTTGAGGCCCAGGGTTTAGGGCTGGGGTGTACAGGACTCCCAAGAGCTAGGGTTCAGGGTGCAGGCGCTCTGGGCTTTTCAGAATTCAGGTTTAGGACTTGCGGTTTCGGGGGAATGCTTCCGGGTAGAAGCTACATATAAGTGGTGAGAGCCGCATATTATACGTTAGATAATTTGTGTTAGACCGGACATCACACACTGGTACATTGGATACTACTTGCTACTGTATGTATGTTCCTATTGCAGATTGCGTGTCTAACTATATTGTGCCATATGATACTGTATTTCACTATTTCTGCTATGGTTTAGTAAATAGTAAAGAAAGTAAAATGCATTAAACTCTGTTGTATGCTACAGTTAATATCATGTTGTATTCATATGGTATTATATCATACTGTATGACATTATATTATGTTATGTTGCATTACATGTTGTTTTTCGTTTGTATCATATGATACAAACCCTAAGCCCTATAAGCCCTAGAAGCCGTAATATAGGGGCCTTTATAAGTACCTATACTATTTTTGGGGGTTCCTTATTCTAATTATGTATAATAAACCCCGAAACACTATTCTAATTATCAAGGCCCCTGTTATAGAAGCCCATCATAGATCCCTTATAGAACCCTTTAAGGATCCCATTAGAGGAACCCTATTCTAATTCTTCAGGCCCCTACATTACACCCTC